TGTGGAAGGACGAATAAACCCCTTCCGCAGGTTCTCGTCAATATATTCCCTCAGTACACCCGATTCTGTTTCTGACAAGGGAAAGATCCGGCCCGAACGAGATCTCAGATCCGGGTAGGAGGTCTATAGGACAATCGTAAGAACGGTGTGGGGGGAAGAACGTCAGCCCCCCGCTTACTGAAAACGTCCAAGAAGTCATGGTAGGCCGGGGGAATAGTCTGGGATAGATTGGCATCACCGTCCAAGCACAGGAGGACCCGGGGACCCACGGATCCCGTGACCTGGCAGTGATTCAAACAGTAGGGTGACCTAAATTGAATCGTTCCCCTTTCCCAGTCAATCTGGGGGTTATGGGCCCGCAGCCAAGGGAGCCCCAGAATGACTGGAAATAGGGGTGATGCGATGGCATCCAAACGGAGGAATTCCTGGTGATGGTCTGCTATTGTGGTAAAAATGGGTGGTGTCTCCTGGTCCACCACCCCTGATTTTATACTGGAGCCGTCTGCCAAGAAGATGTTGAACCCCCTTTCTTTGGTCTGCAGTGGTATTTTTTGCCGGTGGGCAAAAAGTCAGGTCGACAAAGCAACTACAAGCTCCAGAGTCAACGATTGCGGTCACCGATAGTGTTCTTCCCGGGAGCTGCAAAGACACAGGTATGGCCAGGTAATTGGACTGATCATCCCTTCCTGCGGGTAAAGTAAAAGAAAAGGAAGCGGACTTACTCATCTTTGCAGGACAGGAGCGCACCTGGTGACCAGCTTCCCCGCAGTACAGGCATAGGTTCAGCGCTCGTCTCCTTTGACGTTCCTCGACCGACAAGTGGGAACGGGCCAGTCCCAGCTGCATGGGTTCCGGGTTGTCCCCCGATTCCGTGCCTCGGGGATGGTTCCCTGGGGTTGGAGCTGTGTCTCTCGGTGGGATCCATGCCACCCTTTGACCCTGGTTGCTCCTTTCCAGCCGACGTTCCCTTAACCTACGGTCAATCTGGATGGCCAACTCAATCAGTCTTTCCAGGGAGTCTGGTAGGCCTACTCGTGCTAGTTCGTCCTTGAGAGACTCAGACAGCCCGATGCGGAACTGGTGACATAAGGCCGCATCGTTCCATCTGGTGTCTCCCATGCATCGCCTAAAGTCGGACGCGTATTCTTCGGCTGCCCGGCGGCCCTGCCGCAGTGAGTATAGGGTAGCCTCTGCGGAGGCAGCCCGCTGAGGGTCGTCATACAATACTGCCATGGCCTGAAAGAACTTGGTCACGGAGTCAAGCTGGGGGTCACGCCTCTCCATCAGACGGTGAGCCCAATCCTGGGGCTCATCCTGAAGGAGAGAGACTATAAACCCCACCCTGACGGTCTCGGAGGAGAATGTGCGGGGCTGCAAGTCAAAATAAAGTGTGCAAGCATTCCGGAAGGCTCGGAAGCGGCTCCCGGTCACCACGGAACCGTTCCGGCAGGGGAACGCGGGGCTCAGGAGCTAAGGGTGTGGCAACCGCTCCCGGATGTCGGGGTAGCGGGAGGTTCCCCAGACGCGGGACTCTGAGCAGGGGGAGTCTGGGGGGCTAATGTCTCCATGCGGTCTTCCAGTCGGGCGCAGCGACTGTGGAAGTTCTGGAAGGCCTGGGTCAAAGTTGCCAGGTGCTGGCAAATATCCTCTAGGGACGCCGGTCCACCTCCTGGCTCTGTCATGGCCGCAAGGTACTGTTATGATCCGCCAGGCGGAGCCTTCCGGCTGCCAACTGATAGACCAACCCAGAGCGTGGGGTCTAAGCCCGGGCTGTGCCTTCACCAGGGCCCCTGATGGTGGGGATGGACTGAAACTGTCCCGGGCCAGGTCACGACCTCCGGGCGGGCCCACCAGCGGCCGGGAAGGCCTCCGGGGATGCGTGTAGGTACCGGGAGAGCCAGATATGAGGCGGATGACGGTCCCAGAAGGGTGGCACGGATAGTGGTCCCGTGGGGGGTAAGCGGGGTACCAAATCAGCGGGCAAGGAGTAGTCAGGTCACATGCAGGGTCAGCCAGGTAAATCAGTCCGTAGAATAGTCAGGATATCCGAGTCAAAACGCAGGAGCAGGCAGAGTAGTCAGGACAAGCCGGGTCAAACACAGGGGCAGGCAGCGTAGTCGGGGTTGAAAACAGGGTCACAGAACAGGAGCAGGTATCCAGGATCACATAAGACCTTGCGGCAATGGGTGACAGTGCAGGGCATCTTTAAATAGTGCGCCCTGCACTGTCATTGGCTGGCTGGGACGCGCCCCCGGCTGTCATTGGACGCCTGAGGCGCGCCCCTCGACTCTCTACTGCGCATGTGCGGCGTCCTGTCAGCCGCAGCTCGCCGCCAGTGCGCATGCGCGGGGGGACGGCGCCGTGATGCAGGATTCCGGCGCCGTGATCCCTGACAGATTGACTACTTGGTCACCTCTCTTACTAAGGCCCTTTTCCACTGATTGCACAGGTTGGCCAGGTGACCAGCTCTAGGAAGAGTCCTGGTTGTGCCAAACGTCTTCCATTTGTGAATTATGAAGGCCAATGTGCTCTTGGGAACCTTCAGTGCTGCAGAAATTTTATGTAGCCTTCCAAAGATCTGTGCCTTGTAATAATCCTATCTGAGCTCTGCAGGCAGTTCCTTTGACTTCATGGCTTTTGCCCCGATACATGCTTTGTCAACTGTGAGGCCTTTTATAGAGAGGTGTGTGCCTTTCCAAATCATGTCCAATAAATGTGATTTACCACAGGTGGACTCCAATCAAGGTGTAGAAACATCACAGCAACGATCAAGAGAAATAGGAGGCACCTGAGTTAAAATTTCAACTGCTGTTGCAAAGAGTCTTATGTGATATTTCAGTTTTTCCTTTTTCATAAATTTGCAAACATTTCCAAAATTCTGTTTTCACTTTGTCATTATGGGGTACTGAGTAAGGATAGCCAACACATTTTGGGCTGGGGTCACAAATCCCTCTTTATCAGGGCTTGTATGTTGGCAGTTGATAGTATGGGATAAATATTGTGGAAAATGAAGATTAATATTAACAACGCAGGTTGCCTTTTTGACATTTTAAAAATGACATAGCCTAAAGCATTACTACATGTATTGTATTGTCATTTGATGTTATGAAAACTGACCTATTACTTCCAATTTGTAGCCAGCTATCATCTGCTATTGCTGACAGGCAACATTTTCTTTCTTGCAGCAATAAGCAATGGGTCTCTGATTATAGACTGGACTCTCCACAATTCTCACCTTCCTTTCCTGGAAGTCAGCAGAGAACTTGATATCAAATTATAGACATCCCCTGTTATAGGACCCTTTTTAATTAAATGCTTTCCTGCAGGCTATTAGCATGTTTAAAGCAGTACTATACCAAAAGCAAAACATTTATTATACTGCAGCCTCTTAGATGTGATAGCTGTAATAGGTTCCGTTTTTAGGCTTTCTTTCTTCTATGTTCATCTGGTGATCTAGCCAGTAAGGCTGTTGTTTTTCAGAAGCTCAAGTTCTCCAGCAGAATATATCAATTTTCATGGATGAGACAAACCACCTAATACTGGCAGGGGTGAATGATCAGCTTTTATTTATTCATGCAAAACCTTTATCCCAAAAGGAAAAAACTGATTATAAGGTGTGAGCTGGAATTTGGCTTCAGTTTGTTTTGTGTATTTAATCTAATACATTTAACACTCTCCATCCCAATTGGCAGTGCTGCTGTCTGCTGTGTCTCCTGTGCTCATTTATTCAGAGTGGTGTCTCACTAATACACGAGGAGTGTTACTGACCAGATCATCAGGTGAAAACAAAGGGAAAAAAAGCAAAGAAAAGAAAATTAATGCAGCCACCACATCTAATGATTGGTAAGCTGCAACATACTACATTTTTTATTTTGGTTTTAATACTACTATAAAAGATGCATAAAGCTACAAAACAAGGGTTATGTGTTTCCATATGAATACTAATATGTTGTTTTTAATATTTATGTGAACATCAAGTGTACTCAGCTAGTAGATTTTTTGATTGGCTAATTTAATTGGTAACATTAGGGGTTAATCACCAAAAAGTATAAAAACAGCAACCAAAATGGCTGAAATTGCACTTCTTGAAGACGACCAATAGGTTGAAACGCGTCGAGATTTGATGATGTAATTTCCACTGAGGTCACAGCGGTGGAGCACACCCCACTTGGTGAGCGGAGTGGATAGCGGCCATCTTCCGCTAATACACAAAGCTGACTGCACTGGGTGCCGATCTTAGGCACTTTACCATTTGACTGTTACGCTATGGAAATCCTCTTTTTATAATTGGTTACATTCCGAGAGTTGCATATTATCTGAAGAATGAAGGACTGTGAACAACACACTAGAGAATGCCCCACAAGCGCTGCAGACCATACTGGAAATAGCTGGTCATTGATACAGGGTGAGTGCCAGTCTATGTGGGGCACCTACTGCACTGTCAAGTGAAGCACTTATACAGGTTTTTGAGCTCATTACTTTACACTTTGGAACTTGTCTCTTCCTTTGGATTTTGTTGGACTTATAAGTTTGCCTGTTGGATAACATTTATATCAGTTTGGTGGGCACAACTTCATTAGGTTGTGGCAAGTGTTAATATAACCAGTTATAGTACTGCAGTGGCTACTACACTGTATTCTATTACATTTAAAGGGGTTGTTTATATAAATTTTTATTTTATTTGTACATTCTAGGTGCAGAGCCGTATTCACTTATGTGCCTCCATAGACATGCCTAATACTTACAGAAGGCAGCAGGTAAGGGGTGCTGATTCACAAAACTCAAGCAGCTCCTTAGATTGCCTGTTCTGACCCACCACTGAACTGAGTGTAGGTGCCTAGAGGTGTATTTTGTTACAAGTACTAGGCAGTTTAATTTATTTGTACCCACAGGTTTGTGCAAGGGGATGAATTCTACAGGGTTGCAACCAGGGGTGGACTGACAACTCATGGGGCCCCTGGGCAGTAAGAGATAATGGGGCCCCCTATGTCCCCGCCTACACTCAAGCACACCCACACACAGGGCGGACTGACAACTCATGGGGCCCCCAGGCAATAGGTGATCATGGGGCCCCCGTGTCCTTACCCAAACTTTAAAAAGCCTATGATAAAGGTACCAGGGGCATCTCATGGGGCCCCCTACTGACCCCGGGCCCTCCGGCAGTGCCCGAGTTTCCATATGGTCAGTCCGCCCCTGGTTGCAACTGTTTTAAAATGCCAAGATAACTTTCAAAGTTTCCACCACCAATTCTTTTGCAGCTTGCTGCAGGGTCATAAAATATAAAAGTTGATGCAGCGCTAAAGATTTTGTAGTAAAGGGTACTCTAGAGAAACAATTAATAATAAAATCGTAGAAGTGGGAACTATGACGAGGAGTAACCTCCTTATAGATAAACCCAAATTAGCAGACTCGGGGGACCATACAGCAATTATTCTGGACTTTACTAGTAACTATAAACAGATAGAAAATGTCTTTAGACGTTACTGGCCGATTTTAAAAACTGATCCCATTCTCTCAAAATTGTTACCGGTCACACCCAAGTTTATATATAGGAAGGCTCCTTCCCTTAGGTCCAAATTGGTACGTAGTGTACTGGACCCCCCCATTAAAAATTCTAAAACCACGTTTCTTGATCAGAAAGGGTTTTTCCCGTGTAAGATCTGTTATGCTTGTAGAGCTACAAGGGGTTCGAACACTAGATTGAGCTCCTTCACAGCCACTAGCAATGGCAGGTCCTTTCAGATCACGGATTTTATATCATGTAGGACGGAGGGGGTGGTTTATGTTCTCCAATGTGGATGTGGTTTGCAATATGTGGGAAGGACAAAAAGACCCTTATGGGTCCGGTGAGAACATGTCCAGAATATAAAAAAGGGTTTCCCGAAACACTGTTTATCCAACCATTTTCGGCTGTACCATAATCAAGACCCCTCTGGTCTTAAATTTTGGGGAGTTGAAAAATACAAGAAACATTGGAGAGGGTCCCATAAAGTGAGATCGTTAAGTCAGATAGAATCTAAATACATTTTCCTTATGGATACATTTGCCCCGATGGGACTCAATATTGAGTTCGACCTAAATTGCTTTATCAGTGATCGATAAATTCCTTATGTCAACTTAATGTGTGTTATGGTATTTGAAGTAAATAGTTCATGCATGATTACAAAGGAGCTTCTTTATTATATTTTTTATTCTACATATTTTTCAAATATTTTTTACATTTTTAATATTTGTTTTTATATTATTTTAGTTCATACATTTTTGTATGATATTCATTTATACAGGGCATGTTATATATATATATATATTTTATGGACATGCTCGTTCTAATTTTAATTTTACTATTAAAGTATGTGGTTTTCCACATCTAATTTTTAATATTAGTTTTCTCATGGTTTATGTGCCCATTAGTGAGAGGTATTGGTCGTGTGGTGCTTTCCATCTAAGCTTTGTTATCCTATTTGGATCGCCAGACCGAATGGGAGAAGGTCTGCCCACACTGGACCACAGTAATATGGCTGTACAGGCTGTTTGTAAATTGGACCATTAGAATATGGCCGCGATCGCACCGCCCATTGTAGTTTGGATGGGTGCGGTTTCTGGCCTTTATAAGGAAGTACTGCTGGCCAATCACGCTGTCCTGATGAAGTCACGAGTCACGTGACGCAACGCGTCGACGGCATTGGCGTGGTGACGTACTTCCGGCGTGACGCCATCTTGGTGCACCTTTGTGATCTTGCTGTACACCCAGCACATTGTGATACAAGCTGTTGCCATGTAAGTGGATTATCTCCTCTCTCTGGATATATGTTGCTTACTTGCTAATAAAGCGGTAATATACTATGAGGACTGTGTTTATCTCCTCATTTATGAGCTTATGAGCGGTTGTGACATCGGAGGAGAGTGCTTTCCGTTTGCCTACTGGTCTGGATGAATACTGTCCTGGTCCATGTGATGCCTTCCTATATAAAGAGTTACTGAATTGGAGGATCTCGAGGTGATTTACAGTATGCTTTGTGGCCCTGTGGGGTCATAGAGTGGAGGTGAGAGGCCACTGCAGCTAGACTGCCTGGGATCACGTTTGGAGTGTGCTGTGATTCACCTGCACTTCTTTAGATATATGAACTATGGACACGTTATCCTGCACCTAAACCACTGTTATTTGTCCATTGAGGGTCATTGGTCCTAGCGTATTCCCCTGTGGATTTGGGTCATCTCTATATATATCTATATATATTCATATATATCAATGTTGTATTTTGTTTAGATATTAGAATCTTTAGCGCTGCATCAACTTTTATATTTTATGTATATTGCCTTTGTTTGGTATGGGATAGATGCTGGCTGCTTTTTAGTCTGTTCTACTGTTCACCATAAGAGCGCAGGAGGATATATATCTATGTGATTTGCTGCAGGGTCATGCTTCGCACCATTGTGGCATTGCACTGTCATTGTCTTCCTCAGTTTCTGGAGGTTGCACATTTGTAGCTTGTACCATGAGAGCCCGTTGTTGCAGATTTTCTGATTATGGATCATTGTTTCTTAAAATACGTTTTGCATAGACTTTAACAAAAAATCTGAAAAAGACCAACAACACACAAAACATTTTTTCACAGACTACACTACAAACATTAAACTCAGAAGGATCAGAACTGTGGTATGGTGCAGTTTGAAAAGCAAAAAGAACACACGAAAGGAATGTTGTTCAACACTAATCATAACAAAAGATGAGAAACATCCACTTGCACACTTCTTTTATTAGAAGAGGAAGACCCTGCTGTGATCCAGGGTCATAGAAGGCCACAAAATTGGGCATCAAGGCCCCAAATTCACTTCTGCAGTATGAGGAGTGGCTGTCCTTACTTTTCAGGTCCAAAAGTGGCTGTAGATCTGCTCTGTCGTATTTTGTAATTGAAGACAGTCAGGGTTTAAACTTCCAGACAGCAGTGCTGGTTAGTCCGTAATTTTCTTGCTGGCTAGATTCCGGTAAGGGATATTCTGCCAATTTTTGCAGCTGTTTCTGTATTGGGTGATCAATAAAATGTCCCCTTCCAGGATCCCCAATGAGAACCGTAGTCCCGTGCTGGTCTATACAACATCTGAGCCACCGGTGAAGGCCATCAGCCAATTGCACATCATAAAACATGTCACCGAGGACAATCAGACTCCACAGATGTTTGTCCACACCTATTATGTTCTCTGAGAGGAAGGGCAGAGGCTGAAGGCCGTTCAGTTGGCAATTAAGTGTGAGCGCCGCACCTGCAACTGGACAAAGCAGAGGAAATCACGATAAGAAACACATTAGGCTGCTTTCACACTGATCCATTTTTGTTCAGTTAAAAAAGCAGAAGAAAAATGTATCCCTTTAAACCTATGGAGCTTCAGTTGCATTTTTAAAAGTCCTGCTTGCTGCACTTTTGGTGCAGGTTTGTTCAGTTAAAAAACACACCAAAAACACAGCCCTCCATTGAAATTAATGGAAGCTGCATTAAAAACACATCTAAAATGCATAAAAATGCAACACAACTATGGAAAGTGCTTTTTACAGAGGGGAAAAACTCAACGCAAATGAAAAAAAATAAAAACACACCAAAAACACATCCCTCCACTGAAATGAATAGAACCTGCATCAAAAACACGTCTAAAATGCATCAAAAATGCAGCACACCTGTGGGAAGTGCTTTTTACAGTAGGGAAAAAACAACGCAAACGCATTAAAAACTGAAAAACGCATAAAAAACACAATGCACCACAGCAAAAACGCGTAAACAATGCAGCAAAAACACATGCATTTTCATGCAGAGCAGTGTGAAAGTAGTCCTAAACAGCCAATCATTTAGCCTAATTCAACATTTGAAGTTCAGATATTAATCTGACAGCTTAAAATATATATAAAGCCCCCTTTTTTTTTTTTGATAGCATAAATGGGTTGCTCCCTATTAGATTTCTTGCTCCCCACTGGGGAGGTTTACTTTCACTTTCTGTTCCATGGACACAAGAAGTGAGAAGAAATCTCTCCAAAGTGATGGAAATCCCCTCTTAGCAATTGTCACCAAAAATGCCTTACCTTTTGAAAGATTTCCCCTCTATTCATCTTCCCATAACAAATCAAAATCTTCAATTTTCCCTAACTTTTAGTCACAGTGGCAAGGGCCACGAGAACAATTGGAGAGGGGGATTCACCATTACCAGGACAGACAGCAAAAAAATATCTGGCAAGGTTGCTAACCCTTCCCCGCTCTATCCATAACTACAAACAAAAGTTTTGGTTTTAGATACACTTTAAAGTTCATTTCCACTTTTGCAGCCAAATTAATATAACACTTTATATTTGTTACACAGACTCTCATTGACGGAGTACAACTTAAAACAAAAATTACAAAATGAGTGCTTACATTTTTACTTGCTTAAAAAATCTACCTAGCTTTCCCCTGCTGTGTAATGTTAAGGAGCAGGCAGAGGAGTTATGGTTACCACAATTAACCCTGTTTGTGCTGGCAGATATCATTATCAGTTGTAAACCAGAGGTTCAAGCTGCCTGTCCTAACAAAGGGTTAAAGATCTCAAAGGGAGAGGTATTGTATGTTATTGCACTTTTTTAATCAATCTGTCCCTGAAGATGTCTGAATAATTTATCTTTCCTATACAGTCCTATGTATAAACTCGCTCAAAAGAAACAACTAGAAAGGTAAGAATTTTTTAAATATTATTATTATTTTTAAATATTTTGTGTGAATGAGAACACATAACAAACATACTGTATAGTGGGGGGTTTCTCAAATTTGATTGCACAATTGGAAACACACTTTAAAATTGTGTAAAGTGATACTTTTGTATTTTGTTCACACTTGGAAAGCAAAAAAAAAACAAATGTATATTCAGTATTTATACTATGTATTACTTTAGTTTCTTTTTTTCATTTATACTTGTGGACCCAATTACTACTCACTGCAAATGAACTATACTTAGAAACTAAAAGCTGAACTTCAGACAAAAAGCTGAATAAACAGCTAAAATACATATATTGGATCTGTTTTCATTTCTGTCCATCCCCTTCTGACATTTACACATCTCTGCTAAACAGCACAGTCCTACCTGGCAAGAGTGGGGACCTATTTTTTCAATTCTGCAGTGTGACTTTCACTTACAGTTCTCCTTCCCACCCTCACCCTGTTACTGGACAGTATAAGGTGAGCAAGCAGAATGATAAACGTATTTTTTCTGCATTAGTGTGACCGGGGACTAAATTCTGAGTCGCAAAACTGAAACAAGCATTCAGCAAGTGAAACGAAACCACTTTATCAAGTCACTAACTAAGAAAATAGTTAAACTAATGGCCAGCATTACAACCAAAGGCAACTTTCACCTAGGGTTTCTCAAATGGGCATTTGGCCCTATGACAGTTTTTCCCCATATCTCACCTGGGTCAATGTCATTAGCTAGTACATAAGAAGCCCCTCCCATTTTTGAAGCAATGGCCGCTGCACCGCAACCACTCCCAAGATCTAAAATCTGTTTGTTTCGCACAACTTCTGGGTTATCCAACAGGTATCTGTAAAGTAATAATGGAAGAAAATTTAGTAACTAGAATTGTCATGTTGAATAGGTTATAGAGGTAGTAAAAAAAAAACAAAAAAATCCAGGCCCCCTGCAAGGTAAAGGCATAATGTGCCAGTCTACATCACATACCAGCACATTATGAAAGACTTGCCTTAAAACAAAGCCCTCACTGCTGACAAGGATTCCATCTTCACTCGGTCTTCCTTCCGGGTTCGCGGGTCGGGCTGCAATGGCATCAATCCATGTGCACAGGAGTCACAACCTCGGCATAGCGCTCTGAGGCTAGGTTCAGATATGTGGGGGTGGAGCGGCTGCGGATCTGCACGCAAATCTGTGCAGCCGCACCACCCGCACAAAGAAATGCAGACCCACGGGTGGGTGCCATTAGTTCTAATGGCACGCCACCCGCACTGAAAAACCCAACTGTACTGGGAACTGAGGTTCCCGTGCGGGCTGCGTTTTCAGAAGAAGTGCAGGGACTTCTTCCCTGCGTGTCTCGGGGCACGGGAGTCCATTCAAATGAATGGACTCTCGTGCCCACGCAAAATGCGGCCCGCACGGCTGCATATATGTGAACCAGGGGTTAAGGGACAGCAAACTCAGTATGCTGTCCCTTTAGAGCACAATGCGCATGTACAGTCAGGTCCATAAATATTGGGACATCGACACAATTCTAACATTTGTGGCTCTATACACAACCACAATGGATTTGAAATTAAACAAACAAGTTATGCTTTAACTGCAGACTGTCAGCTTTAATTTGAGGGTATTTACATCCAAATCAGGTTAACAGTGTAGGAATTACAACAGTTTGCATATGTGCCTCCCACTTGTTAAGGGACCAAAAGTAATGGGACAGAATAATAATCATAAATCAAACTTTCACTTTTTAATACTTGGTTGCAAATCCTTTGCAGTCAATTACAGCCTGAAGTTTGGAACGCATAGACATCACCAGACGCTGGGTTTCATCCCTGGTGTTGCTTTGCTAGGCCTCTACTGCAACTGTCTTCAGTTCCTGCTTCTTCTTGGGGCATTTTCCCTTCAGTTTTGTCTTCAGCAAGTGAAATGCATGCTCAATCGGATTCAGATCAGGTGATTGACTTGGCCATTGCATAACATTCCACTTCTTTCCCTTAAAAAACTCTTTGGTTGCTTTTGCAGTCTGCTTTGGGTCATTGTCCATCTGCACTGTGAAGCGGCGTCCAATGAGTTCTGAAGCATTTGGCTAAATATGAGCAGATAATATTCCCGAAACACTTCAGAATTCATCCTGCTGCTTTTGTCAGCAGTCACATCATCAATAAATACAAGAGAAGCCAGTTCCATTGGCAGCCATACATGCCCACGCCATGACTCTACCACCACCATGCTTCACTGATGAGGTGGTATGCTTAGGATCATGAGCAGTTCCTTTCCTTCTCCATACTCTTCTCTTCCCATCACTCTGGTACAAGTTGATCTTCGTCTCCTCTGTCCATAGGATGTTGTTCCAGAACTGTGAAGGCTTTTTTACATGTCGTTTGGCAAATTCTAATCTGGCCTTCCTGTTTTTGAGGCTCACCAATGGTTTACATCTTGTGGTGAACCCTCTGTATTCACTCTGGTGAAGTCTTCTCTTGATTGTTGACTTTGACACACATACACCTACCTCCTGGAGAGTGTTCTTGATCTGGCCAACTGTTGTGAAGGGTGTTTTCTTCACCAGGAAAGAATTCTTCGCTCATCCACCACAGTTGTTTTCCGTGGTCTTCTGGGTCTTTTGGTGTTGCTGAGCTCACCGGTGCGTTCCTTCTTTTTAAGAATTTTCCAAACAGTTGTTTTGGCCACGCCTAATGTTTTTTCTATCTCTCTGATGGGTTTGTTTTGTGTTTTCAGTTTAATGATGGCTTGCTTCACTGATAGTGACAGCTCTTTGGATCTCATCTTGAGAGTTGACAGCAACAGATTCCAAATGCAAATAGCACACTTGAAATGAACTCTGGACCTTTTATCTGCTCATTGTAATTGAGATAATGAGGGAATAACACACACCTGGCCATGGAACAGCTATGAAGCCAATTGTCCCATTACTTTTGATCCCTTAACAAGTGGGAGGCACATATGCAAACTGTTGTAATTCCTACACCATTCACCTGATTTGGATGTAAATACCCTCAAATTAAAGCTGACAGTCTGCAGTTAAAGCACATCTTGTTCATTTCATTTCATATCCATTGTGGTGGTGTATAGAGCCAAAAATGTTAGAATTGTGTCCATGTCCCAATATTTATGGACCTGACTGTACAGGTGATGTCACCAGCAACAAAACATGTAAATATCTCCTGCGCAGTGCACATTTAGGAGATATTCATTTTGCCTGCAGGTAAGCTTCATTATAACCTTACCTGAGAGTAAAAGTTGCAAAGTAGAGTTTACTACCACTTTACATCACCCGGTATCATCTCTCCTGATGGCCCAGTATGTTCTGTGCCAGAAGTGTATTCATATATGTTAGATTTTCAGAGTTATAAAAAACTCTATTAATATTTCTAGGTTCTTGTAGATGGTTGTGGGAAGAAATCCTTATGGAAGCCAGGTCAGTATAAGCAGTGTGACTTTATTTGATCACACACCAAAAATACAAAGTCAATAAAAAACAGTAAATTCAGATATATGTAGCTTAAAATGAAATAAAAATAAAGAATATAAGTTGCTTGTTCCTTGAATATTAGAAGAAAATGTAGTTCCTTTGAATAGCTTAAATAGAAGATTTTCAGTATAAGTTTCTTTCTTTGTTCTTTGTTAACCTCTTGCCATGTGCTGTCTTTGTTCTTTGTTAGCATGCCATGCTTTGAGTAAGAGTGTGTGCAAGAATGTCTCTATGTGTGTGAGTGAAGTGAAGAGATAGAATCAACTGCCTCTCTTTCCTTGAAAAACTGCATACTTAAAATGCATGAGAAATTAAGTCCTCCCATTTACCTTTGTTTCAAATTCGCGGGCTCCTTAAACACTCCCATAGTCACTCCCAGCTTAACTAAAAACATGTGTTCCTATTCAAACCACCAAGTCATTATCATGATTGACATGCAGACTCTGAAAAAGGTTTCTGAAGTTCTTATATTACATACAACTGTCTAAATCCATGATTTATGAGTACAATTTAAACTCTCAGACTCATTATAAGAATTCAAAACATAGTATACGTTACATAGAGTATTCTTAAAGAAAAACATGACTTTAAACCTCTGCTGATTACCTTTAGCTCAGACACAAATAATTCACATCTGACCACTGAAATGCAAAACCTCACATTCACTTCCAATTAAGAGGGTATTTTCTGCCAGCATATATTTCAGAACTATTAAAGACCGAATTAAAGTTTGGATATTAAAAATTAATATTACAATATATAAAGTGCTTAACCCAAATTCATTTTTTACACAAGTTAAAATGCTAATTTTAGACCTAAATTTACTTAAATCACCAAAACATTATATATTTTCCGATAGCAGAAATCCTGTAAAATAAAATGGTGGCAGTTTTTTTTTTATTTCACGCAATTATTATTATTATTATTATTATTATTATTATTATTATTAAATTTCACACAATAATTGCGATACTTTTTATCAGTCTATAGTTTCAGAAAAAACATACACTGAAATAAACTTTGAGTGCACACAAACACAATATATTGTAATACCCACTTTTTTTTGTTAAATATAAAATACAAGGTTGCAGCAAGTAACTAGATGGCAAATATGTCAAGTCTCAAAATGACATGCACTTGTGAAACAACAAAAAACTATGGTACCCAAAATGATCCATGGGCAATGATTTAATAGCCTTTACAGCTCATCAAGAAACAGCGAAACATGGTAACAGAGTTACTGCTCTCACTCTAGCAATCAAGGTGATACCTATCATGTGTGGTGCATCATCATTTTTATACATGTGCACACCCGACACGTGTTGTTGCGAGGTTTTGTTAAGCTGAACTGTACTACACAGCACCAAACTAGCTGGTGTTGGTATTGTATAATGGTGTGTACCCTGTTACCTGCAGGCTGCTTCCCCTTAGCATTTTCTTCATAGCCTTCATATATGGCCCAGAGTGGCTATCTTCTGGCACTGTAAGAATTAGGAGCCACCGCTGCTAGTCTGAAAAGTTGTGACACTCGCCCGCTCCCATCTGCCTTCTCTGCCATTCACAAAACTCAACTCACTATTATCGCAAAATGCATTGCGTCCTGTGAATGGAGGAGGAGCAGTTTAATGACAAGACCTCATATGCCCATTCACAGTAATATGAGCTTTCTGAATGGCGAAGAGGGCAGAATCAGCAATCAGCAGGTGAGTGGTGCAAGTTTTCAGACTAGCAGCGACTGCTGTTGACTCTCGCAGTCCCTGAAGTTATCTACTCTGGCTAATTTCTAATAGCTGAAAAGGAGGCAATGAGGGGAAGATTCTGCACAAGAAGCAGCCTGCAGGAAATGGGATATACACCATTACACATAACTAAGGTGTGTCTCAGATGGACTCACCCCTTTGTAAGACTTCAAAGACTTATGGAAAGCAAAGGTTTATTTACCACATGTGGGAGAACTTAGGCAAGCTATTGTTCTGAGGATTATTCCTCTGTGCAAGAGTTTCTAAAGGCGAACAGAGCAAATACGTCCCGAAACATAGGTTGATATGATGTAGAACATTACAGAGCCAATGAGATGTACACATTTATACACAAACGATAGAGAGTTAACACCATCTTTTTCTACAAGTTTTTACATCCCTGTTGCCCTCTGGCTGGAGCCGGATAAAGCAACTGTTCTGATTGACCAGTAGATATGAACTAACATATGATCAGATAATGAAATTACAGAAGCATAAGGTAAAGGTTCTCAACTGTATAGCAGAAGTTCATGTTTACTAAATGAGAGGATGTGTCAGTCTATAATGGAGACCATAGATGGATCAAATCTTAGCCGGTTTTGCAGATACCAACAGATTTGATCCATGTATGG